GACTTCACCTTATACCGGTGAAGGGCTTCAAATTTAGACCTTTACTCGGCACTCAGGGCCATTGAGCAGTGGGGGATCTTTATCGTGCTTACGCCTGCCGTGACATGGGCCTCGGTCATTAAGGTCTCATCTGAAGGACCCGCAACTTTCACTTCAAAGTGCCGAGCGCTTTGCGGGGGAACAGTTGCTACCTATTTTTTCATCGAATTAGGTCAGTCGCGGCCGGGGCTCGAACCCCTTACCTTCCGATCACGGAGCGAGCGCTCTACAGAATGAGCTACCATGACAGTGGAAATCTTTAGAATTCTTCTGATTAAGAACAGCAAAGCCATGATAAGTGATATTGATATGGAAGAATCCTGAGATAGTTTAAATTAAAGTTTGCCCCCCTCCCCCTTCAATACTGAACTGATTACTGCTTCTTCCTGGCCAATAAGCTCAGGTGAGCGGTGTGGCCCAGCCTCTTGTATTTACTACCACCCGGTAAATTGAAAAATTACAGTATAACATTATTAATACCAGTGTCAAATAGTCCATTGCTCTTAATCACAACTCCTTTTATAAGGGGTCTAGAAGATGTATATCCATTGAAATCAGGCTTTATAACACCAAGAGATTTTAAAATAGTACTCAGATTTTAAAATACTCATAGACATGGATAAATGATCCTTCATTTTTTCCATATGCTTAACTCATGTAATTTATCTGTAAACATACCCCCCACCCTAACAAAAAAATACTATAGTAAACTATAGTTAACTATAGTTTACTATGGTTAACTATAGTACCAAAGTAAAAACTTTGGAACTTTGATTTACTAAAGTAAAAACTTTGGAACTTTGATTTACTATAGTGAAAACTTTGGAACTTTGATTTACTATAGTAAAAACTTTGGAACTTTGATTTACTATAGTGAAAACTTTGGAACTTTGATTTACTATAGTAAAAACTTTGGAACTTTGATTTACTATAGTGAAAACTTTGGAACTTTGATTTACTATAGTAAAAACTTTGGAACTTTGATTTACTATAGTAAAAACTTTGGAACTTTGATTCACTATAGTGAAAACTTTGGAACTTTGATTTACTATAGTGAAAACTTTGGAACTTTGATTTACTATAGTAAAAACTTTGATTAAGTACGATAAATCCCGTGGAATTATGTTTTAGATTCCCATTCTTTACATTTTATGATATTTAAGTTTAAGATTCATAAAAGCTTTAGCGAACATTTTAAAAACCCGACCCTTCCCTTAAAAGAATAATGTACAAGATATGAATTTTAATGTAAAGATTGTCGCTTGCGCCGATCAATAAGCAATATTTATTTCAATTTATTTAATTTTAATGTTATGCAGATGTAACGTAAGACTTATTTATGGAGAAAAAATAATATGTTATAAAAAATTGTGTCATTTAGAATCAAATATCTGCTTCATCAACTTCAGTCAACATGTGTTTTTTTTTTATTTATAAATGTAAATATTGCATTTGAATTAACTACTTTGTATATTTAAATAAAGATGTACAACAAAAAACCAGCCCCAACTAACCCCATATCCACCCCCTCCCCTAAAACGGCTAAATAATAATAATAAAAAAAATAATAAAAATACATAAGTTGTTAAACTAATGAAAAAAACTTTGAAACTTTGATTAAGTATAGGGAAAACTTTGAAACTTTAATTAACTATAGTAAAAACTTTGAAACTTTGATTTACTATAGTAAAAACTTTGGAACTTTGATTTACTATAGTGAAAACTTTGGAACTTTGATTTACTTTAGTAAAAACTTTGGAACTTTGATTTACTATAGTAAAAACTTTGGAACTTTGATTTACTATAGTAAAAACTTTGGAACTTTGATTTACTATAGTGAAAACTTTGGAACTTTGATTTACTATAGTGAAAACTTTGGAACTTTGATCTACTATAGTTAACTATAGTAAACTATAGTTAACTATAGTTTACTATAGTATTTTTTTGTTAGGGCACCCCCACCCCCAGGAACAACAAGAGTTTTGGTATGAATTTGTTAAATAATAATTCAAAATTGCTGTAAAAAGGAGAGGGGGGTGTTTTAAAAATATTTTCCGTTGATTTCTATAGTGAAAAAACTATAGTTTTTTTTCAAAATTATAGAGCGTAGTTTCCGAATACTTCTGATTGTACTTTCATTTTCATTTCTCCACAGCTTTTAAAAAATAGTAAAATGGCGGTTTTTATATTCAATAGCACATTTTGCTATTTTCGCGCGATGTTCTGGCAAATATTTTAGATACTTGCTCCGTTTTATTTTTGTTGTAGCAGTAGATTAAACTTTTCAGTTTCTTCAATACACATACTTGTAATCCCGGCTAATCTGTAAAGGATTAGGCAATGAGGGAGAATTTGTTAGTTTATCCCAAGTTTTCCATTTTTATCCAGTTTGATTTACACTTGTTCTTAACTCTGTGAAGACTGAAAAATGAATTTAACACGAACAAAGAAACCTGAGTTTCCTGTGTGTTTATTCAGAAATTATTTCTATAAATTTAGCAATCTAATTAAAACCAGCTGTTTGTTTGGCTATGTTTACGGCGTACGAGGTAGTACTTTTGATATACTTTTTCATTATGACAGTTTTTTTTTCATCTTTTAATCACTGGAAAAGGATAACTGCGTTATCTTTCCTGTCGCTTTAATAAAAATGCACTTTTCCTTTCAAAGTAAACCAAGTACTAAAAAAGAAGAAGATATTTTTCAATAATAAATCTGAAGATTAGGAAAATGGCAATGATTGTATTTAATTCTTTGATTAATTATTTCTACTACATGTAGGGCTGACACAAAATTCGACAGGGATTTCTGATACAATGGGTGCACGCAATCGGGGCGTTGGGTGAGAGACTATTACTACATGTATATATCTCCCAAAGCTATGGAAAATTCCTTTTATTACATGTTGTTTATGGCTCAAAACGTGTCGTACATTAACTCTTCTTTACAAATAATTCAATTTTTTTTAAAATAAATCTGTTCCATATATCAAAAGACCAGTTTGTTTTACACTGAGCTCATGAACGATTTCATTGTGCATGTAAAACGTCAAATGACGTCATAGTGCATTTTGTGTACTAGTATTTCACTCGTAAAAGTTCCAATATTCAACAACAAATATCTCTGTAACGGATGCATGTACCTTATAATGTCCGGAATAAAAAATGTAGGGCATATTCCCAGCTTTCAGGTTATGGCATTCATTTTTTATTTTATTGTGTTTGTAATTTAGATAAAGCCAACAGAAGATAGCACAAAATCAGTCATTCATTGTAGTTTTATCAACTTCCTGCAATGATATGCAATATTCAAGTTTATGATAATTTCTCAACATCGCACAGAAAGGTTTTGAGTAGAAAAAATGTTTAGTTTCTTCTCTAGTTTCAGAAAATATCAATTGTTTTGTTGTATCCCGAATATTTAGAAAACGCCAACAGTTAAATATCTGTGATGCTGGAAATGCGTCCAAATGCGTCTCTGGGTGTTAAAGGGTTAAATATTGAGCTTATCTATCTAATTTTCAATATACGGTAAGTGGCATTTACTCCCGGGAAAAATGTCCCGAGACGACAAAGTATCAATGAACAAAAACCACAATTGTTTACTTCCGTGGAGAAAATACTTGCAAATAAAGTGTTCAATTAATTTATCTTGCCCCTTTTCAAATGTTAAGAATACTAAATTGATTACAAATTGAGTAATATACTAACCAGAACCCTTTAGCGTGCAGTGTAGAGAGGGTTCTTAAAGTGAACATTTTGTGAATTCTGTGGTCGTTATGATGACCTTGTTACCAACTATCAATATGCCGTATTTTGAGTGACATCTTTCATACAAATCGTTAGACCCTTGCTTTTTTTTCTAATACCAATTTTGACTACGGACAATTTAACTACATGTGCATGATAAATACACACCTCCTAGGTACTTGATCTTACATCTGGAACTTCCAAGGGTCTGTGTTTTATGACCTGTTCACATATTTGTATTGTCTGTAGGTCTTTTCTGGATCAATCACAGTTCCTTATCTTCATTTATTTCAGATACTAGGTAGAAAATATGCACCATTGATTTTACTGTTGCTTTCCAGACAAATAGGTCATCAAAGTGATCCTGCATGACAGTTAAAATACAGTTTTATTCTACATTGATAACTTTATCAATCTTAAACTCAACATTGCTTACAATATACATTTAATATAGCATTATATTAATCTAAATGGGAATATAGTATAATACATAAACATGATAAACACAAAATGTTGTCACAAGCGCCAAAGTAGGATCGCAAATATGTGTCTGAAAAATGCAACCATGCAGTACATAAATTGTTATATGGCAGACACTTGCGAACAAGTTTGAACTTTGCAGCAACTTTAATAAGTAACATAGAGCATTGATAAAAAAAAAAAACCTTTAAAACATACCAGAAAGTTTCCCGCACTTGCAGTCTTATAAAATCACAATTTTAAAACAGTTTGTACTTGTAGATTTTACATGATCCTTGCAAATTAAAGGTATTCCGTTATTCATCCGAAATGCAAGACATTTACATGTACATTAAAAGAACATATACAAAAGTTATATTAATGTACAAATTACCGTTGCACAGAAACGATATTAAAAGAATCCATTCACGGGACCATGGAAGAAATTAACCCATCAAACACGCCCACTATTGTTGTTCCTTTAATTTATACATGACTTAGATTCTTAAAATGTGATGAAATTTCTTCAGCCAATGTAGATAAAAATGGACAATAATCAATGTCGTTTGAATTTATCTAATGATGGCTTTAATTTATCTAATGATGGCTTTAAACTTTTAAGCTAAAGTATTTCAAAATTTGACCTCATTATTCGCTTTAATATTTTGAAAATGACCTTCATTCAAAGTGTGACAACATTTATTTTTGTATTTTACAGGCAACAATATTTTAAAGTTTAAATTCATTGTAATCTGTAGACTATTCTTTTTAGTATTCTACACAGCATTCTATGAACTCCTAATTTGTAGCACCTTCGTTAGGCTTGAACATCGTTTCAAATTCGAGCACATTTGATTTAATTCTTTCCCAAATTTCTTGCATTTTAGTATTTTTTATAACAGCATCCTCATCTTCCTTTCTCAATATCAGTGTTTTAATATCATTGAGGTTATCCAAGTATTTCTTTCCAGTGAAGGTTTCCAATCTCTGGCAGATATCTGACATTGTCGACCAGGTGTCATCGAATTCTGTCTGAGGGGTAGAGGCTGAATTCACGTGCGCAGTCAATCTATTTCGTATTGACCTTATTCTCTCGACATCGTCACCCACAGTCACCTCTCCTGCTGCAGGCTCTTCTCCCCACTTTCCTTTTGTTGGTTTAGGAATCGTTGAACAAATGTTTCTTATGAACTTGTATGTTAATGAAATATCAAAATCCTTATATCCAGAATTTTTTGCCTTTTTCAAAAGATCTTCTTGATCTGGGTTCAACTTCAGATTCATTCTCTTTTTGTTTGATAATGAATTCACATTGTTCTCAATGTCGCAGGGGAGTACTTCTGATTCAAGAATGTCTCTGTATGCCTTATTCAACACATCGTTTGTTGCCATTCCAAGTTTTGCAAACCTAGTTTGACCCTCCAGGTCTTGTCCTGAGGCCATTAGAGTGCTGGAGACACTCATCTTTCTCTGAAAAAAAAAACAACAGTCAACCATAGTAATAGTAATAAATCCAACTTAGCAGAAACATAATTAAAGAACAAAATATTTAAATTATTCTACATTCTACAACGCAAGTTAATGACTGTGTTTCTAAAACAACATGTAGTACAAAACTAAACGATGTTCCTATTTAGCTCTTCTTCAATTTCATTAGATAAGAAAAAAATATCAGTAATTTGTAAACTGGTATCCCATACATATAGCTATAGAACAGGTCAACAACTCCAAAGCAAACTAGATATCTTTGAGATCGTGTCCATCTCAAAAGGTCATGCTTTAAGTTAAGTAAGGAAAAGTAGGATGAAAGCGACATGAATGGGATTTTATTTAAAGATAACGTTTCATATTCAGAAGTATTTGTCTACTCAAAGGAGAAACATCATGCTGTTGACATTGGTACATAAATAAAACAAATGCAAAAAATGTTTTAGATATATGTTGTGCTCCTTGAATGGCATTCAAATAACACCTTGATATAACGCTCTAAAATCAATGATTTTGACTGACAATGGAATGTTCCAATTGCTTGTTTTTTTTTTTCAGATAATAAAAAAAAAACAACCAGGATGTCCAAAATGGACAAATACCTCCGCGGGATTATTATTCCAGAAAACGAACCAAGTAACAAGATATTTAATTTGTTTATAGGTGTTCAAAGTTTATCAAGATTAAAATGATCGAATGATGAACTAAGTTAAAGCCTAGTAAAAATTCAAAATACTTATAATATTGATTTTTTATATTGTAAGTCTTAATTGCAACAATATGTCTATCATTTAAAATTAAAATATATTGAAATAAAAATTAATGTTCTAGTCACACCCTACCCCCAGGTGTCCTGTTTTCAACGAAATTGAATCTAAACTATCTGAGGATGCTTCCATATTCATATTATAAGCATAGAGATGTTGTTCTTGAAACAGAATTTGAATGATGTCTACCACCCTGCCCAGGTACGTGTAAGGTGGGGACATTGATTTAAACAATTTTTGGGGATACTTCTATATCAATATGCTTCATCATTGCTTTGATGTTCTTTTGATGTTCTCCTTTGATATTCTTAAAAAAAATCCTCATATAATCCTATGCAAAATATTGATCCCTAATTGTTGTCCCACCCTAGCTTCCCCGTGGACTATGGTTTGAACAGATTTGATTCTACACTACATTTGCCTGAGGATCCTTTCATATCAATATGTTTAATCATGACTTTATTGTTCTTGAAAAGAAGATTCATAACGATTTTTGCTATTCCTATGTAAGCGATTGATTCCCTATTGAGGCCCTACCCTACCCCTTAGGGTCATAAATTGAACAAACTCCAATGTACACTACCTGAAAATGCTTCCATATTAATATAAATAATGATGGCTTAATTGTTCTTGGGAAGAAGAATTTAATTTTTTTTTCTATATTAGAAATGTTTTCCTATGTAAAACTTTGATCCTCCGTTGTGACCCCAAACTACCTCCAGGGGTCATGGTCTGAACAAACTTCAATCTACACTACCTGAGAATGATTCCATATCAGTATGTCAAATCATGGCTTTGTTGTTTTTGAGAAAAATATTTTCAGATTTTTTACCTATATATTTTTAATTCTGAAGAAGTATTTAAAGATTTTTCCTATATACTTTTATGAAATTATATTTCTATATATTCCTACATTCCTATATACGCAGCACTGTTAAGGCGTACTTCGAAAAAATCAACAGAATATAAACGTGCATAAATACATATCTTTTTGAAATGAATTTTAATTTTGTAAAGGTACTATATTATCTTTTGACTTTAACATTCTTTGAAATAACATTGTATACCCCGCTCTGTACTGAATTTGGTTTGTTCACATTATTTGATAGTCACGTGATAAATGCATGTAATGTGTACTGTATGTAGGTCACAAACAAATTTCAATATCGCAAGGGCATACCCTAGTTAAAATTAAAAATTAAAGTAATAGATTGTTTCTACATAACTTATAGTTTATGGAAAGTGCTGCTGCTTTAAATAGAATTCGCATTTTATTAGTTTAAATTTCAAGTTATCTTGCTAATGTCGAAATATGTGTGACCTTTACCAAGTATATCATGTATTTGTTAAGTTATGCTATCGATTTCAGGAAAGCAGCAGCACTTTTCAAGTCAAGGAATATGTCCATTATGTGTATTCAAAAAATGGTCAAGATCTATTAAGTGTATGCCCTTGCGAAAACGCGATTTAATGAGGCACCTCGGCGTGAAACATGCACACCCTGTAGACAAAAACACGGTAGAATTAATTCAACACATTCTCTCGATATTTTTTAAATAATGGCACTAAACAAACGTTTCAGATTTGTATTAATGGTCTACCTAAGATTTTCAAAAAATATTCTGTTTAATAATAACATGCATTTTTCACTGTGAAAAAATTACTTGATCCACCTCTCACTGCACATAAAATGCGTCAAACTTCACCATGATGACGTCATGTCGACAAGTGCATTGCGATCAGTGACTTGTTTATATTTTGCTGTGTGGGATTTAATTAGCGACAAAAGAGAATGCAGTGGTAAGTTTTGATGTAGTTCATTACTCTTATGCAGTTTAGATCCGCAAATTATTTCATTTTCTGTTATTGTGAGGAATTGCTATATTTGTGTGATGTCACAGTAAACTTTTCCCGTATAAATTAGGCCCCGCCCCCTTTATGAAGCCTTAATAGAGCTGCGTACTCCTTTGATCTTCCATTTCGGCTCCACCCTACTTCCGGGTGGTCATCATTTGTACAAAATTATTCCTAGGCTACCTGAGGATGCTTTCATTTCAATATATTAAACTGTGGCTTTATTGTTCTTGAAAAGAAGATTTGTAAAGATTATTCTAAATATTCCATTGTAAGTGTTTGATCCCCCAGTTGTGGCCCTACCCTACCCCTCCGTAAACTTTGCAAATTAAAAAAAAGTGTCTAGGAGTGAGGGATACTCCTCACCTCGTATGTCTTCTTTCTTACCCAGACAGCATGACTACGTTGGGCCAACGTTGGTTAATGGTTGTATGGTTGGCCGATAGTTGGCATTGGGTAGACAATGTTGGGCCAACGTTGAACCAACGTTAACATGTAAATCATCTCTTTAGTACCCCAACCATGTTGGAATTCTCACGTTGGCCCAACGTTGGTCCAACATTAACTAATTCCGTTTTGCTATACTTAATCTGGTAGCAGTATGTTGGCCCAACGTTGGCCCAATGTAAGCTTGAGTGTTTGTTTTAAGTTGTCTTTTATAGTTAGAGTGAATACGTTGATCCAACGTTGGCCCAACAGTTGGACTGCGAACTAAAGGACAAAGTGCCTGAGTTGGGAGCGTTACGTTGGCCCAACGTTGTCCCAGTGTTTGTTATACCCTAGGCCTAATTGAAAAGATCATTTATACTGGTAGGACTACGCTGGCCCAACGTTGGTCCTATGTTAGGGCGAGTGTTCTCTTCTATGTCGGAATGAGTACATTGGCCCTATGTAATTTAAAAATATTGTTTTATGCTTAAACTCTGTGAACTTTGGTAACAAAATTTGTTAGAGGCTAACAAATAAATTGTACAGTTTAACATTTTTCCTTTGCCTCTTTGTCAGCATTAGCTAGTTATTTCTTGTTAAGATGGATTAATTTTGAATGGAAATCAATATTTATATAGGATAGGTTGGGCCTCTGTTGGCCCTACGTTGAAAAAATCACTGTCCGCAAAAGAACAATGGGCCATTGTTGTGCCAACACAAGTAAAGGACACTGGACCATCATTGAGCCACCGATGGTATGTTGGTTAAAGGACGTTGGGCCATTGTTGGGCCAATACAAAAAGTACGTTGAGCCAATGTTAAGCCTTTGTTGATACAATCACTGTTGATAGTGGACGTTGGTCCATCGTTGGTGCAACATTGACCAAATGCAGTAATAAAATAGACAAACGTTGTGCCAACGTTGGTCCAACATGTTGGGCCAACGTAGGGCCGATGAGCAAACTTGCATTGGGCCAACGTTAGGTTGCCAACGTTGGACCAACGCAGTCAACGACTGTGCGCCAACGTTGGCCCAACGTAGTCATGCTATCTGGGTTATTGAATAATTACATGTACATGAATTAGTTTTTGGAGAAGAGTGAACAGTCCCAAGTATTTGATAAAAAGTATTGGATACAATATGCTGAAATTAAAAAAAACCGCAAATATAATTAGTATAGTTATTTCTACTGAGCTAATATCGATATTGAAACATGTGATGATACGCAGGTATGTAAAGGCTACATTCAGAGATATCCTATTTGCATTTACAATATGACGTCATAGCAAGCTGTATGACGTGAACCTTAGAAATAATTATTTCTTAATATCTATACTTTATGTTTAATTTCAGGTCCAAGAAATGAATGGGATCATTCAAAAACATAATATAAACTAATTCTTGTCGTTTTTGGGTGGTTTAAATAGCTAAGTACTTAGCACGTGGGTTAAATGCCAAACCCATGACGTCAGAACTACTGATCAAATATTTGCCGAGTGAAATCAAACGTGACGAGAATTCATGTAAACAAATAAATGAAATGGGAGTTTTAAAGCATATAACGTGAATGTTATTTGTGATTCATAAGAAATTAAAGATTAAGAATCCGGTATGCTGATATATTCTTATCATGTTTTTTTTTTTATAATGAACACAGGCAGTGCTTTGAAATCCCGATCAGCATTTCCTCTGTCGTTCTATAATAATTATTAAGATGCAAAAGTTCAACACTACGCCGCATACTTTGAAACATAATTTTTGTTTGTACCGAAAGCTTGTATTAAATAGTACTTGGAAAGAGCTACTAGAATCGTGGTTAACATGAATTGATAACAATTCCTTGATCGTATGTATAAAATGTAAAAAAAAAATTAGGTAAGGTTTCATGCGAAACTTTGGAATATTTTTTTCTGTTTCCGGAGAGTAGGATTCTAGCAGCACTTTTCATGGCCCATTTACTTTTTTTACATAATTATTTTCACTGAAAGAAATGAATTAGGCCCGGGGTAGTGTTGAACTTTTCACTTTTTATTAAGGCAATTTTTCTATTTATAAACGTTACGTGATGACGTCGTAGTGGAGTGCTTCTTTTAGCCTAAGACTCAATGACGTCTATACAGTGTATGATAATAGTAAATGTTTTATCTATGGCTTTCCTGATTTATCAATGTTACATTTTACGAAAAAGTTTAAATTCGCCGAAATATGATCTGGGTACTGCCTTAACATACCTGCGTAACTTAATTTAAATATCTATTGCATACGCAGTCGGAAAAAAAACATTTACAATATGTAAACTGATGTGAGAAAATTATTTAATGGGTATTCCACTATTGCTCGACTAAAAGAACCTTTTATTTGAAAAGGTTTTCCGAGTGAAATTGACATCCGTTGTACACAAAGGATACTAAACAGTGATTATCATTGAGTACCGTAAAAAAGACCAAATTCTATCCATTTAATATTTATCCATGAACATTTGTTTGTGACACTGATCTTATCCAAATTGACCTTTTAACGTAATCATGTAATGATGTTATCCACAGTTTATAATTGATTTCTGTGTGATCTTCCCATATTTTTTGTCATAGGTATTTGCATAGATATGAAGGTGCAGAAAAAAAACCCAGACAGACGTAAAAGTTGATCGTATTGAACCCATTCGTTTTTTTGAGGTGGGTGTAATGATATGTTATAATTACCTTTTCCCAGAAACCCAGAGTCTTTTGTACATTTATCAAATGTTTCTTCTGAAGTTGACACTTGCACTGCGTTTCTTCAGCTTTGATTTTGGACAGCTCGCTTTCAAGAGTGAAAGATAGATCATTCCCACAACAAATAATGTTTTGGCATTTGAATCCTTTATGGAAAATGTTTGTGTCAATAAATGTTTCTGTCAATTTTTCTATGGCATGTTCAACGGATTCTCCGATTTCATTTGATACCTCTATATCTACAGCCAATGGTCTAATTCGCAACACTTGTAATTGAATTTCATCACTACATGTGCCAACAACAACAGTGTGTTCATTGTGATCAAACACTGCTGCTGTCTGATAGAGACATAGAGTTCCTTCATGATCTCCATCTGTGGTAACATTCCATCTTAGAAAACTTATACAGTATGCTACCAGTCTGTAGAACACAAAAATGGCAAAAGAAGTGAATCGATAGCACAAAATTGATGAACATTCCCACATATCTTCACAAAAGTTAGCTTTAAACTGCTTTTTGTTCATACAGGGGACATACCATGACATGTCACCTTTTGATACAGCCCCAAAAGACTCCAAAGGTACGAGCATTTGAAGCTTCTCCATGTAAGACATAATTTCACTTTTGTGTTTCAAGTATAGAGGTTCGTCTTCCCAAAGTGCATCCACCACTTTATCTCTAAGTTCCCCTGTTTTGTTGAAGGATTTCCACTCTTTGATTAATCTTGTTTTGCAGTCTTTATTGATATGGTTTTTATCAGCAATAATCTTACTGAAAGCTTTCGCAAACCACTGAATGTCCAGTACTGCGTGTTCCCTCAATTTTTCTACTTCAAAATACAACAGAAGGCCATTGTCATGGAAACACTTTAAAAACCTAGACATTTCCTCATCACTTTTAATTTGGTATTCATCAGGAAGGGACGAGTTGAGCCTCCAAATTTCCAAAAGGGACAAAATCTTCCAGGCCCCATCATACAATAACTGTTACATTAAAGCCCAAGAAGAAGGGATTTCAATTTTTGTATTGAGCTCATCTGTAAATAGTTCAACTATGGACTTTTTCATTGATTCCAGCATTTTCTTTGTATTGTCATTTAGTTCAACTAGACCCACAGCATAATCACGATCATTCAGAGACTCACTTAACCAATCTCTGTCCTCGTCTGGTACAGCATTCCAGAATTCTTCAAAGTACTTCTCTATTTCCTGAAGTATAAATAAAATAATCTAACAATTTAATACTACATGAGGCCCATGGGACACAAAGCTTACCTAAGTCTTATTGATCATCGAGTTCTTAACTACAGTGTTCAGAAAAAAAATATATCTTTATTCTTTTCTTGAAATTTGAAAGTGTAAATTTATTCTTTTATCAATATAATCGATTGAATTATTACCTTTATTTGATAATGTTATGATAAATAGCGATCTAAGACTGTAGTTAATAGCAAACCAGTACATCATACATGTGAATTTTTTCGCGCCATATTTCATAGTGTTGAGATCTATTGCTAGTCAATTTTTAAGGCTATTAGCTTATGATTCTTGCATTTTCTTTGTAGCTTTCACTATATACATATATAGAATAGATATTGAGATATAACTGTGCATGAGGCACTCGAAAAAAAGCATCGTCAAACACTGACTCGGGCTTTACTTGAAAGAATTTTTACGCAGCTCACGCATCATGTCGGACGTCTCCGTAGGCGCGGAACTCGCCAAAATCCATATGAAGTACGCAGATGAGGAAACTGCATTAAAGAAAGCCCAAGCTGAGGTCATCTATAAACAGCAGTTAATCAAGATGGACCTTGAACTTTTAGCAGAGAAATATGCAATTGAAGAGATGTATGCAAAAGGCAGCAGTATCATAGAGGATTTAACAGATGTTAGTTCATGGTGTTGTAGTGAATACAAGCCGACATCTGTGAAAGCTCAAGAGGTGAACACTCAGTCAGTTCAAACATCGGACGAAACACCAGCATTTTCTCCTGGACATATTGAGCCACTTGAACCTAAACGTATTAGAGATGGACTCACCTTTCACCCTGCACAGCCAGTGGTAACAGTCACGTCTGCAATGGAACTGTTTCCAGATCGAACGAAGGTCACATCATTTACATACATACCTTTACGAGCTAACACGTGTGATAATAGACTCAATGACACTCGTATAGCATCTTGTCTACCAGAACAAGGATAGAAAGATTATCTCAACGTTAACATTTGATAGGAACTTACTTCCTCCCGAAGTAGATCATATTCCACATACAGGGACTCGTCCTGTAGACCATATTGTGACTTTGCGAAGTTCCTTCTCAAAAATGATCTTGTTCTTACAAGACTGTCTAAGTTTAATGACCGACCTGAGAACTACCTAGCCTGGAAACACAGTTTCAAGTCAGTGGTGAAGAAGCTTGACATTAGTGTATCAGAAGAACTGGACTTGCTTGTGAAATTCTTAGGCCCTAGTTCAACTCCTCAAGTGATAAGCGTTCGTTCATCAAATCTTTTGGATCACCAGAGAGGTCTGTTCAGAATATGGAGTCATCTTAATGAGAGGTATGGCAGCCTGCGAGTGATAGAAGCTGCACTAAAAAGGAAACTTGAAAACTTTGCTAAAATCAGTGTTAGAGAAAAGGAGAAACTTTATGTACTCTCGGATACTCACTCATCTCATTGAATCAGCCATAGAGGACCCACAGCTCAGGGACTTGTTATCGTACTTTAAGACTTCTTCTGGTACAACACCTATTGTTTCAAAGTTACCCCCATCTCTGCAGTCCAAATGAAGAGACAGAGCCGTTAAATATAAAAAACAGACACAATGTGGCCTTTCCTCCGTTTCAAAAGTCAAGTAAGTTCATTTATGAACAGAACACTATCTGGAATGACCCTGGATTTGTATTTTCATGCAATTCGCAGCCATTTCAAATGAGAATCAGGAGACTTAGTGTAAATAACAGAAAAACTCGAACAATTCTATTGGATCAAAGTGCCCAATACATAATGTAGATCATATCTAACAAGACTGTAAAGGCTTTCTTAAGCTCTCAATGACAGATAGAAAGAAGTTCTTGCGAGACCGCAATTTGTGCTTCCAGTGTTGTGAGTCTACAAATCACCATGCAAAGGATTGTACTGTGCCGGTTAAGTTAGAGTGTGCTCGAGTGATAAACATACGACAGCATTGCATGTTGGTGTCGCACATAGAACTCAAAGCAACCTGGAGCCACAGGTCAGTTTGCAGGCGAGTTCCATGGCGGGGACCGACAAACCTCTGTGTACAGAAGTATGTGGACCAGGATTTTCAGGGGAAATCTTGCGGGAAAGCGGTACTTGTGCGTGTATACTCCACCGACACACCTCAGAACTATAACCATGTTTATGCTCTTATTGACGATCAGAGCAATAGGACATTAGCCCGTTCAAAGCTCTTCGATTCCCTGTGTATCCCAAAGACAGAGTCTGTGCAATATACCTAATCTACACGTGCTGGACGCTTATCTGTTACTAGACGACAGATGTATGGATTTACGATCATTCGGATATTTAGAATTGGTCTTCCACTAGTTATCGAATGCAATAACATTCCAAATGATCGCCAAGAGATCTCGACACCAGATGTGATCACACATTTTGAACACTTGAAAGGTATTCAGATCCCTCCTCTTGATGAGAAGGTAAACATTTTACTTCTTATTGGAAGAGACTTATCAGAAGTACACCATGTATTGGAATAGAAGACTGGGCCAAGGACTGCTCCATTCGCCCAGCGGCTACACCTTGGTTGGGTTGCGATTGGTAACGTATGCCTAAGAGACACATATACACCATCGACTGAAGCTAGCGTCAATAAATCTACGATTCCGAGTATGTGGACGACCATCTGCATTTGAACCATGTAATCATCACTTAGCTGTTTCAATAAATATTGTGAAAGGTGACAGAATTGGACATGAGGTGTTTATTCGGACGAGGATGAAGAGAAAGAAGGATACTATGTCGAGGACCGACAGTTCTTGGATATCATGGGTAAGGAGTTTAAGAAAACGCCGGATGGTAATTGGGAAGCACCATTACCCTTTAAGGAGTCACGTTCCCCTCTACCGAATAACAAAGCGGAACCTCTCAAACGTGCACCGATCTTACAGAAGAACCTCCAACGAGATCCTTTGAAACGGGACCACTTTCACACTTTCATGACAAAGATGCTGCATAATGGACATGCAGAAGTGGCTCCACCACTTATAAGGAATAGGAGTGCTGGTATCTACTATTATTCGGAGTGTACCATCCACAGAAAAGGGACCAAGTTAGAGTGGTTTTCGATTCTTCGGCTAACTATAAGGTAATCTCACTAAACGCTGTTTCAGTGTCAACACATGTGCATATGAACAATTTAGTTGGTATGCTACATCACTTCCGCAAGGAACCAGTTGCTGTAATGGCGAATATACAGCAGATGTTTTATGGATTTTTCGCGACAGAGCATCATCGCAATTTCTTGCGTTTCCTTTGGCACCAGGACTATAATCCCCAGAAGGAGTTAGTTGAGTACAGGATGTGCGTACACGGTTTTGAGAATTCCCCAAAACCGGCGGTAGCGACGTACGGAACAAACTCAAGATCCGGAAGTGAAGGAATTTGTTAACAACCAGTTTTATGTGGGCGACGGTTTAGTATCCTTTCCAACAAAAGAGGAAGCTATAAGTGTGTTACGGAAGACACAAGAGACGCTGTTTCAAGAGGGATAACCCAAGCTTCACAAGATAGCATCCAAGAGTCAAATTGTAATGAACAAATTTTGCATGGAGGACTTAGCAAGTGACTTAAGGATTTTAGATATTGCTAAGGCTGACTTATCTTTGCAGCACAGTCTTGGACTTGTCTGGGTCCTCAATTTAGACACATTCACGTATCGTGTGCGGGGCGATGAGAAGCTGTCCGTGGTGCATAGTCTATTCGACCCCCTTGGAATGATCTCACCAGTCGTACTACTATAGGCTTTACATATGGGGAATCCAAGATAGTACCAAAACCTGGCCAGAACATACCGAGGCTTGAATTGTGTGCGGCGATGTTGGCTTGTGAGGTCGGTGAGGTCGACTGAACATTTTGGACTGAAATTGAGTGACATACATTACTATTCAGATAGCCAAGTGGTGTTAGGATATTAACAGTGGGAGGTCGACTCCAGACATCAGACCTATGATATGGTGAGAAACATTCAGTTTTTGTCCCGGAAAAACATCATGTTGCGTCATTGCTGATTTGACATTTCCAAGAACAGACTGAGCATCAAGGAAGACACCTCAGGGAAGTAGCCATAAGCAAGGCAGGATTCTAGGTCACTGGAGGGAAACGCCTCATATCCTCAATACTTTTTCATTGTGTTATCTGTCGCAGATTGCGAGGAAAGTTTGTAGAACAAGAGATGAGTGACTTACGTAGTGACCGCTTGACGCCTTGTCCACCCTTCACATTCTTTGGTGTTGATCATGACGTGTTCGGTCCTTGGGATGTGTTAACCAGACGCACACGTGGAGGAAAAGCCAACTTGAATTGTTGGGCTGTGATGTTTACTTGCCTTTACTGTCGAGCAGTTCACTTCAAACTCATTGAGGAAATAAGGCCAAAGAAATTGGATCGGACCGGGGTACCAACTTTGTTGGCACCACCGACACCCTACACATGAAGGTTATCAATGTAGAAGACTTTAAACTGATATCGATCTCAATCTTGGAGGACAATAGAACGGTATGGAAATTTAATCTCCCTCATGCGTCCTATATGGATGGCGTATGGGAGTGGCTTATCATGATTGCAAGGCGTATTCTGAATAACATGCTTAGAAACCCAGCCAATCAGAACCTGACTCATGAAGTTCTACCCACTTTAATGTCAGAAGTCAGCACAATAATCAATGCGAGACCTATTGTATCGGTTTCCTCTCATCCAAATTCACCGTTTATACTTACACCGTCAGTTCTGTTAACACAGAAGACTGGGACAATGACACAGCATCCTGTGGGGTTGGATACTAAGGATATGTATCGCTCACAATGGAAGTATGTTCAGATTCTTTTGGAAGCGTTGGAAGTCAGATTACCTGTCAACTTAGCAGTCGAGACACAAGTGCGAGTCTGTGAATGATAACTTGAAAGTTGGTGATGTCATTCTGCTACGCGGCCGAGATGTACCTCGTAATCAGTGGCCGCTAGGAGTGGTAGTAGGTGTGTTCCCTAGCGAGGATGGTTAATCCATAAGGTGGAAGTACAGATTGTTCGAGACAATGCAAAGACTGTGTATGCTCGCTCTGTATGTGAAACTATTAAACTCTTGTTTGTATAAAGTGTACATTGACATGTAGATTGATGTTTCTAAATAGGTATCTTTTATTCTAGTCACTAGTAGTGATGTTGATTGAAGTTGCAATGTATGATGTTATATTAACATATCAGGCGGGGAGTGTAATGTTATATTGATAAAAAAAATTTACGTACGAGTTAATCGTTCATGGTACGAATTAATTTAGTTAATGCATTTCCGCCCAATTTGGCACGTTTTTTGCAGTTGTTTGTAAAATTGTTTTGGTTATATGGAGCCCATCAAAGTGTAAGTTTATTCTTTTATCATTATAATTGATTGAATTATTTCCTGTATTTGATAATGTCATGATAAATAGCGATCTAGGACTGTAGTTAATAGCAAACCAGTACATCATACATATGAACTTTTTCGCGCCATATTTCATAGTGTTGAGATCTATTGCCAGTCAATTTGTAAGGCTATTAGCTTATGATTCTTGCATTTTCTTTGTAGCTTTCACTATATACATATATAGAATAGATATTGAGATATAACTGTGCATGAGGCACTCGAATAAAAGCATCGTCAAATACTGACTCGGGCTTTACACATAACTTGAATCAACATATCCTAAGGATGATTCTTATCATTATGACCAACCTTGCCCAGCTGTTCTGCAGAAGTAAATATGCATAAGGTGAAAATTACTCCCTGATTTTGGCCTTATTATGTAGCCGAAATCTATTATTTGAAGAAAAAATCAAATCTACACAATTATGGAATGTTTCCATTTGAATGCAAATTATGGTGTCCTGTTTTTTTCCTTTAAAAAACATTTTAAAAATAAAATACTAAAAAAAGACAAGAGATATATTTAGTCAGATGAGCTCAATTAAGTCTTTGACTTAGATGAGCAAAAGAGAATGAACTGTCTTGAAGATGTATATTTTTTCTACAATCGAAATCAGAGACCAAAATGAATTTATTTTTTCTATTCTCATGATTTGTTCACAATATTTTCTTTCTTATAATACACATTCAATTTGAAATACTTATTTTTAAGTTTAAATACTTACATCTGTAGATTTTCTTTCTGTGTGTGTGACAATAACGAACAGTGGCGCCTTAGTGCCTCTAAAAGTCTTGATTGAAGTTATCCAAAACTTTAAGTAGTCTACAAAAAAAGGGCATGGTAAAAGAATAAAACAGGCAAGCATCTTTGACGTGAATTAACTCTTCTATTGTAATTACAACAGTGAACAGGAAAAGATAAGGTTCATGGTTTAACAGTCCTCTCGCAACGGCATTGGGGGGGATATATTAACGGGATTGTGTGAGTGTGCGTGTTTTTTTTGTTTTTTGTTTTTTGTTTTTTTTTGTTCTTCGTGCTTAACTAAAGTGAGATATTTTGTATCAGGAGTGGTGTTGAATGCTGCCTTTATTTACAGATTGTTCTTAAGCGAGGGAATGATCCGCTTTATGGTGTCATTGTTTTCTTCTCGCTTATTGAATTTAATTTTTTTTCATACAGCATTCTGATCATAATCATATACATAAAACAATTATATGCTGGTATTTATTTAATTTATTGCACACTTTAAATTTTTGAAAATATGTTTTGAAATAAAATCCATCAATATGTCAAAAAATGTCTACTTTGAAATTCAAATTAATCACTCATAACTTGTGGCTTCAAATACTAGCTTTAAATACTACAATTAAAAGTCAGTAAGAATCCAATGAAACCCTGAATCAGGACCAAATAGCACTGAGAAAACTCGGGATGGTACTGATGAGGTAGTCCTGAGTAGTACTGAGGTTTCTACTGTGGACACTGAGCACTGTTGTTAACACATAGTCTCACTGTTGACACCAAGAGGGTCTTAAACAATACAGAGATGGGTCTGAGAATACAAAACTTACACTTTCTGTCATGAGGTGTAAACTGAGGCTACTGAGGTAACAATCGGGTTACTATTTTAACCAAGAAAATAATAATCACAACATATTAAGAGTATCTAAAGTATAAAATTTAAATAGGGTATCTGCAGATATTCCTAGAACGTGAACTTCAGTCAATATAACTCAGTGATGTATTCCTGTTTAATGATTTTAAATTTGAATGAAATTGCTTTGGTTCTTTCAACATTTATTTTGTGAATAAATAAGAATAATTTAAAAGTGCATGCGATTTTTATGAAGTAAAATCACACAAGTAATAAAGGTATATTACATACGAAATAAAGGTATATGAATATTCTTAATATTCTGAAGGTAATTGCTTCTTAGAATTAAGGGTGCAACGATAAAGCGTTTGACGGTATATCGCGGTATATTTTTCCACGGTTCAATTCACGATACGCTAAACTGATATCGCGGTTTGGTTCAATCGGTCCAGAATTATCCGTTTTGTCCGTTTTATTTCCTTCTTTACTATTTCAAAATGGCTTCCGCGCAAAACGTGAGCCGGTGAGGTCGCCGATAATGCATTTACGGCAGTTAAACTCATCTCCAGCATCTTACAGACCTCAGATTTAACACGGAGAGGGACTTAATGTGATTATAAGTTATAGATGTTAAGACAAATGATAAACCCTTTAGATCTAAACGTATTCTTTGGTAATACACGATATTCCATCACCTGTGTATTTCGATGAAAATTCGCTGTCTTGTTGACTAAAACGTATTAACACGAGAAATATGACAACTGGTTTTCTACATAAATAAAAGAATGAATGTCTTCCTTTTTCATTCCAATTTAAAAGGAAGATTATTAGGAAAGGTCCCCGTAGTTCCCTGTAAATGTTCATCATTGGTTTAAAATGACACAACTCAAAGATCTATTTAACAATCGAATTCAAGTTAACAAAATTTTATTTTAATTATTATTAAAAAATATGAACATTTTTTATAACCCTGTCAAGTTTTAAAAAAATATGATGACAAACTTGAAAGACTATTTAACCTTCTTATGTATCGTGATACGTATCGTATCGTGAACTGAATACCGTGATACATATCGTATCGTGAGGTTAGTGTATCGTTGCACCCCTACTCAGAATCAATTATCATAACAGTGGAACCCTTTGTAGAAACCCAAGCACTACGCAGTACTACCAAAGTTCATCAGTCTTTAGATAAGTATTAGAAGTTATGGTTCCATGCAATCTCATAATGACGATATGATTTATCAAGGCTTAAGTTTCTGTTCTAGAGAGGAGGATTTTTAAAGATTTTACCTGCGTATTCCTATGTAATATTTTAGTGGCCCAAGTGGGCAACTATCTTCTTTCGGGGGATTTTCACTACCTAAAGTTGCTTCCAATCAAGTTTCAACCTTTTGGACTCAATGTTTTGTGGGATTTTTTTTTTTTTCTGTTTGAGATGTCATTAAATTTTCACTTATTTGTATTTATCTTCCTCTTCCAATATATGGCTTGGATCTCCAGTTGCACAAACCTGAATCCCCTTTACCTAAGGACACTTTGTGGATAGTTTAATTGATATTTGCCTACTGGTTCTTGAGAAGCCCCCAAAAATGGAAAAGTTTACAGTCAGACAGAAAAATTAAAATGCCCAACCAAAGTTTCTATTTCATGAGTTAGAGGCTTGGGTTTTACCTTTCTCCAACTTTTTCGGTATTCTTTTTTTTTTTTTATTATTTTACAAGAGTCTTCTTATATTCAAGCATTTCTCTATGATTTTTTTATTTTGTAGTCCTGAGTGTCTGATACAGCATTATTTTTCTCATCTTCATTAATGTGAGTCCTACAGACATAAATTTGACATCACAACATCATATCTTACCTCTGTATGTCCACACTGAGAAGATTGACCCTTCTTGATTATCTTTCTCTTTATCGACAACATCTTCAAACCTCTTAGTCATGTCCAACACAAGGATGAAGAAGGCCTTTGGTGTTACATAAATTTGGTGGCAAGCATAACACGCTAACTGCCCAGCAAAATCCAGCATGCTTACTGTCGGTAATTTTTCTTTTTCAGACAAAATTTTCTGAAAAATCTCATCCTTCACCATTGCTTGTTCTTTTTAGGAGAGAACGTTGACCATTACTTCTACTGCATTGACTTCTTCTTTGCTTTCAGTTGGTAAACTAGACAACTCTACATTCTTTTTTCTCTTTTCTTCTCTGCTGTAAGTTTCTTCAGCGTCTTTATCTGAACTTTTCAGCCCAATATTGTCTCTATTTTCATTTGAATTGGAGAGCTCAACTGCACCGCTCTCAATTGACTTCAGATCTTCAGCATTTATCATGATAAATGTCTTCAATGGTGAGTCATCATCAGCTACTGCTAACAAGTGTTTTATTTGGTGAATGATTTTTTTTATAAAAGGCACCATGATAAAGTAATTAAATACATGTATCATGTCAACTGAAGATTGACTACAAATACACTGATCGTATCACGTCTTGTACATGTATCTGTATTCCTTATTACATCATCAAGCATAACATTTAGAAATAAAGCAAACTGTAATTCTCTTTTGGTTAACATTACTCATAATCTTACATGATAACTACCTATATTCCACCAAGGAACCAGACAAGTAGTGGTACACTAATGTCAACCAAACGATAAACTTCACTTAGAATCAAATCATTATTAATAATTAAATTTCCTCTGCGTATATAATCTACAATGTACATCATGCCTGTTGCCATCGAAATCGTACACGTACCAAACCTGCATTAAGATGAAAAAAAAAATCTGATAAAGAAGAAGGTATGGTTTTAGCTTTATTGTGCCCTAAAAATTTAATGTTTTCAAAAAGTTTTGAAACTGGCTTAAATATTAGTTGAGTATATGACTGTAATGAATCAGGAAAGAATATAGCATGGTGGAGTACCATTCTGGATATATGACGTCATTAAATTGATGCATTTCTCTATTTTAAACAGAAAAAGCCTCAAAATGACCCGTTTCAAGGGTTATTTTCCTTAAGAAAATAGTGTCCACAGCCGTCGCCCACGTTAATTTTTAGATATGTTGTGTAAAATTCTTTGAAAAATCACATATCTCAAAATCTTTGTGGGCGATGCCTGTGGACAATATTATCTGAAAGAAAATTCCATTGAAAATTAGTGTCTTCTGCAACTTTTTAAGAAAATACGGGGAAATGCACAAGTTTATGACGTCACAATTAGCATTTGGAAGTCATGTGAGAATAAAGATTTGTATGATCTTTCTGCATGGAATTTCAATAATTCAAAAAGCTTGAGTTTTAATCTTTTATATCACTTTTATTTTTAAGAAAAACACAGGGCAAGATTTGTATTGAAACCATACCTTGTTCTTAGTAAACAAGCAGTGTCAGTTAAGTCTCAAATTCTATTGCCACTTCATTTCTTTAAGATCTTAAAGTGACATTGACCTTGACCCAAATGGGTTTTGTTGAAAATACAAGTGATCTTTTAGTAAATTTAAACATTCAGTATTCTTCTATTAGAGAGAATGAATCTGTCAAGAATTTATCACTTTTTTCTATCAGTGACCTTGAACTTGCCAGAATTACTTCGGTCAAGATGATGCTGAAAAGAAGTATTTCCGACAATCGATTCTAAGTCATTAAAAGCTCTCCAATGCTACCTATTGATATAAATTATGGATTATCTAGTATATATTTACTGTAACCCCGCCTTTAAAGCACAACAGGGACTTAAAATATATTTTTCTAAACTTAAATCAGACCTCAGATACTTCATTACAAGTCCACAATGACATGTTCTTGACATTTTGGTTGTCTTTCATTAATGCATAAAAAATGTCGACCAAAAAAAAAAAAAAAAAAAAAAAAAAAAAAAAAAAAAAAAAAACTTGCTTAAATATTCCTACAGTTGAAAAAGGGAAATAAAAAAAAAATTACCAGTAAGTGTTTTAGATGCTTATTAATGAAATGAAATTCCATGATTATTTTTGAGATTTTTTTTAAGACTAGGATTTATTTCAATCCTTTTCAAATTATATTATTCTTTATACCATAACTATTATCAATACGGAATGCTATTTCAAATTATCATGTATCCGTCTTCTGTTATTGCATAAAATATTTTTTTAAATAAAAAATACACATTTATTTAATATAGCACATGGCCTTATCACTCCCCTTAAACAATACACAAAAAATTAGGATGCTGAAAATTGTTATGAATCAGTTGAAAATCAGAAAGTTTTCATGCAGGTTTACAGCCCAAAAGAAATAGTGTTGTATATTGTAGAAATTTTCAGGGATTACACAATTGCTTGTAAGTGAGGTTTTCTAGTTGTGTCGACTCTATGTTCAATGTATTTAATCTTCACAAGAGGTCTATGGGCCACATGGCTCACCTGAGTCACCTTTGCCCTTGCTGTTCTGCATCTTTTTCTTTATATACCGGTACATACATTCCTGGGTAAACATTTTGAAGGCCTTTTATAGCCCGCCCTTTACAAAGAGTCAAAAACATTAACTAAAATGAATCATATACATTACTAGAGAATGCTTTAATATTCATATAATTGAACTTGGCTTTGCTGTTCTTGAGAAAAATAATTTTAAAGATTTATATGTATAATTCCTATTGTGTCCACGTCCTACCCCCGGGAATCATAATATAATCAATTTACAATCTTCTTTTTCTCAGTTACATGTAGATGGCACACAAATTTAAATTTTCATGGTCCAATAGTTTTTAAAAATGATTTTCCCCTATATATTTCAAAGTTAAACTTTAATCCCCTATTGTGGCCCCACCCTACTCCTGTTAGCCATGATTCGAACGTAATTTTTGTGTAAGTTTTTGATGCAATGGTTCCTGAGAAGAACATTTATAAAAACAAAAATTTCCTATAGATTTTAATGTGATTGTGGCCAAACACCCCCCCCCCCCCAGGAACCACGATCTGGTCAATTTAGAATTGGCACTGTCTTGTGAAGCCTCATCCTAAGTTTCAGCTTTTCTGGACCATACGAGGGCCATTCAAAAAGTTTTGTCCTACCCAGTCCTCCATGAAAAAAAATGAATGTAGATCACTTCAAACACGCTTGTTATGGTTCATTGAATTCTTTATCAACCACACTGTCCTTGCCGAAAAAGAATTGCTTGAGGTTTTGAAGATTTATCAAGTTTTGAAAATACACTACACGTGATACTCTATTGTTTTATCATGGAAAAGAAAGTAAGTACAACAGCAGAAATAAGAAGCTACATAAAAGCCTGTGCTAAACTTAAAAAATCAGTAATTGAAACATTCGAAGAAGTTCATAATATTTATGGAGACCAACAACCGTCATATAGAACCGTTTCCAGGTGGTTGAAGAAATTTAAAGATGGAAGAGAAAGTGTTAAAGATGATGTACGATCTGGAAGACCAAAAACGGTTAGTAATACAAAAAATTTGCTGAAAATCAAAGATTTAGTAGAGAGAGATGGGATATACACTATTAAGGACTTAGCTAATGGTAGGGATATCAATGGGAGCAGTTCATAAAATTCTTACAAAAGACCGTGGTTACAGGAAGATCTCTGCAAGATGGATACCCCATTTACTGAATGAGGAACAAAAAGCTAACCGTGTGTCATGTGCGAAAAAAAATCATTAAACTATTCAAAAAGAGGAAAAATCGACTATTTTCAGATATGGTAACAGGAGATGAAACTTGGGTGCATTATTTTCAGCCTCAAAGAAAGTTTAATAATTAAGTATGGATGACGAAACATGGAAAGCGTCCAGTTATTGCTAAACGCTGTCAGAGCACCAAAAAGATTCTCTATGCTATATTCTTTGATAGGGAGGGTGTTGTGTTGCAATTTCCGATTCCCGAGAAGAAGAGTGTTACTGGAAAGATGTATAAATGTAAAATTTTGCATAAACTTAAACAGCAATACAAAAAGAAACGTCCAAAAACTGGCATCAAGGGTATCTTCTTGTTGCACGACAATGCTCCAGCCCACAAGTCAAAATTAGTGACAGATTTTCTCAGTAAAGAGGGGGTTATTGTCATCCCTCACCCTGTCTACTCTCCAGATCTTTCCCCCTGTGACTTTTTTCTATTCACAAAACTTAAAAGACATTTATCTGGAAGACGCTATAACTCTAGGGCATCACTTGGCTCTGCAATACATCAGTTTGTGAAGGGTCTTCCTAAAGAGGAATATAGAAAAGCATTTCAGGAGTGGATTTCTCGTTTGAAAAAAGTGTATACGTGTTAAAGGGGAGTACTTCGAAGGCATGAAATAAAGAAATCCTAATGAGTTTATGTCTTTATTTTTTTTTATTTCACTAAGGACAAAACTTTTTGAATGGCCCTCGTAGTTCCTCAGAAATTTAGCTTCCTATTTTGATTTTCCATTTATACTTTGATCCCGTGGTAGCCTTGATCAGAACAATTTAAAATCTACAGTACCTCAGGAAGCTTCCTAATAAGTTTTATTTTTTTTTTTTTTTTTGGCCTGCAGTTTTTGAGAAGATTTTTCCTATAATTATTCTTCACTATGTCATATACAATTCTTATGGATTTTAACGCGATTTCTTAGACAAAACAGAGGAAAGAAATTTAAATATTTAGAATCCAATATCGCGCCTTTCTCTATGTAGCGATAACTCCGTATTAAGACCTAAAATACTATATTAAATGATTTGAATTTTCACTTCATGCAAATAGGAATAAAATGCTAAAACAGAAAGATAATAGAATAACGTTTTTAGTAAATGACGTTTTTATTTGTAACATTAGAGCCGGTGTAAAGACGAATAATGACCCCCATAGAAAAATGATCGAGGGTCATTTTTCGCCGTCGAAAAATGACCCCCGGTTATTACTCAACGGCGAAAAATTACCCCCGATCATTATTCGACGTCGAAAAATGACCCTTTTGCCCGTAGAAAAAGTGTCATCACCCTAAAAATTAACCCTACTTGAAGAAAAATGACCCCTGTAGAATAATGACCCCTTATGTATTAAAGTTGAAATTTTAAGGGGGCAAAAACAAATGAATCAATCAAGAGACCTACTGGCCAAAATGCTCACCTGAACTTAATT